TGTTTTATAATTCATATTACAACGTGTAGCTTTATCAAATACTAGATTTACGAACATTTATTGTAGAATTTATTCTGTTATTCCTAGAAAAATTGATGTTCATTCATTTGGATCTTAAAAATTAGAAATTTAAAAATAGGCGGTTAAGGTTTACATTCGTGCAACTGTATCAATCAAAATTCACATAAACATTTACTAATTGATATTTATAAAATTCAATACGCATCAAATTGACGCGTCCCGTAAACTTAGTGTTAAAAGCGACGGCCGGGAAACCTGTAACACGGGGGTGGCCCAACGCTCGTCGCGTATTTCTTACGGCGTTATCGCGTCGTAAGACATGGGTTTATGCCTCTTTTCCCCCTTTAGAGCAATTACGACTCTCTTAGCGGCTCGATGAAGCAGATTTCTTCGTTTATAAGGTGCAAAATCGCTTTAGTATTTAAAAGCATCCTTAGTGTCTTTTATCTTGGAAACTATTATGTACTCCTGAGTAGCTCATTCCATGTATACATGTCATCTTAAAATTCTAAATGGTGCTAACTTTTTCAACGATGGGCTATTCATTTTTGTAAACAATCATGTAATGTTTCTTCGTTTCGCTTTAATTTCTTGTTAGAATATATTATAAGTGCATTTCGCCTGCATTTCACGAGTATGCACTTCATTATTTGATCTTATTGCGCGCGCATTTTATTGAAACTAAATTCCGCACTTAACAGGTTAAGGAAGCTTTTATTCGGGTTAGGTTTAACAAATTGACAATTTTCAGATTCCGTAGGAAATTTTATCAATCTTGATAAAGTATTGTCTATAAAACGCGAATTTAAGAATGTGGTCTATAAAAATATTGACAGGATAAATATGTCGTTAATGACTGCGATAACTACTAAAAAAAATACAAATACCAACCTGAACTTTATATATTTACAGTAACATTCAAATTTTTAAATAATTGTAAAATGGAGGTTTTAATAACATTCCCTACAGTGGTCCAATCGATGAACGATATCGATCGTATTTTTTCAAAGTACGTAGCGTACCAGAAAAGGACAATCGATATCGCATTCCTTTACAGCGATTTACAAAAAAAAAACTATTCATTTTTACCCATAGTTCCTTTGAGACTATTTGCCTCCGCAATGAGTACAATGCGATGATGCAATAAAAAATGTTAACACTTTTTCTCAAGGGATGTGGGAATGTTGCACTAGCTTCTTTACCCGAATTCTCATTAAACCGAAGGTGTAGAATCACGCTATAACAGCAAAATCCAAACATTTCGTTCCACTCTGTACAAGGTAATTTTTCATCGCCACAGTTGATGATCTTTACCGCGACGTCTTCAGTTAACTAAGAACAATACACGGGAAACTGAGTTTCGCAATAATAGGAAGCAGGTCATCATGATGACATAATTTTACTAGTTATGATGGTTTAGAAACAGTTGCCGATTGCGTTTCGGTTAACCCTTATATACTGTTAGAGTATATAGTACCTATATTATATTTATATTTAATATTCATTTTGTGTTATAGAGATTATCATATTGTAATATATCATAATATTCTCAAGAATGTAGATTAAATCAGAATTGCGCTAATTATGAAATAAATTATTTCGTATACTTATAATTTTTCTTTATTCGCATCTATATGGACATCGAATCATAATTTCAATCCAGTTTGATTCATAAAGTATTAACGTAAAGCGTAAATACATTGTTGCAAGGTGTACAACAGATTTTGGATGACGTCTTGACACTGAAAATTTCTGCAAGTTAAAATTATTAGACTTCAATATTTTATAAATATTATAAGAACGAGTTTATTAAGATTTCCCTCAATCTTAATCGTCCTGTATCTTCATAAATTAATTAATTCATCTAATAACTTGCCATGGAAGCAGTTTCGTAATTTTAATAATTGTGATTCAAGAAATTTGGAGTTTGTCATTCTGAGTAATCTAATCGTAAAGTGTTAAATAAAAATGTTTATAAAGTAATACGTGTGAATTGAGTACATTAAATATGTATTATTATATACATTTTTTCCTATAATGTCTTTTGCAAAATTGTATTTAAACATTTGTTAAAATTATTATACGACATACGTCATTTTTCATTTATATTACTTCTTGTGAAAGCTATCATCATGCTATTCTTAACGTTGATAAATAGATAGTGATATTTCACCGATTTCTAATAAAATGCAAGTTTTCCTGGATATCTAAAACCTAGAATTATAAATCAAATTTATAATATGTGCTGGTATGTTTTTATTTTAGAGATTTTCTATGAAGAATATATAGACATACATTACTATATAAATACTTATGCATATACATATATATTCTGACGAATGAATGCACAATCAAAATATAATAAAAATTTATAAAAACTATTTGTAGTCCCACTAAAATTGTTCATTGTATAATCGAATTTTCAAAATGGAAACGAGGTCTCGTTTAATAATGTTTTTTTTTCATTTATAAATTATTATAACGCAAGAAATTTTATTCGATTGTAGAATTATATTAAATGTCGGAACAAAAATCTGCAATGCAGTTTCGATCGAAGCCTTAATTTCAAATTCGTAAAAAAAGAAAACAGTAACCGAGAACAATGTACAGGTAAATAAGACCTGGAAGAAATAACATGCTCAAGCTTTTTAAAAAGGAAACCATCAGATATGCTTCGTGTACCTCATACATTTATTACAGTACATTCGAAAGCGTACGTTTCGATGCAATCGCCGTCACCGGGGAATATTCCTGGAAAACGCACTTGTATTTCATAGTGGGCGCATTAGTCTTCGACACAACAGCGCGAGCTATGCTAAAACCTTTTCTCCCCCTTTCTTTGCCCGATTTCCCTTTCTCGCAGCATTTTTCATTCTAAATTCACCTGTCTCCGTTCCATTTTGTCAGACAGCAGCCGACATGAGGCACGGTTGTTATCGATTTCCCCATTTCGCCGCGCTAAGAACGCGTTTTCGAAGGTATCGTGCGGTGAAACTCATTGATAATCGCGGGCCACAGGCTGTATATTAGGTATATGCTGAAAAAAGTTTGTGTGGGTTTTGAAATCAAAATTGAAACGCAAAGAACGTTTTTGTAAAATAATTTTATTTACTATAATGTACGTATAAATAAAGAAACATAAATAAATATAAACATATAAATATAATATAAATATAGTTTGCTGTTAGAACCAATTTCATATAGAAATATGCGGAAAAAATGTTTAATTGAGGAATTATTCACGTTTCATTTGAATATCAAAGCGTCAACGAAACGTTCCTCTACGTTCCGCCTTGTTTGCCCTCCGTTTGAATAAATCGTAACTCTCTATTTGTCGCTCGATCGCGATCCACCCTTGAGGCCACCGAAACGTTAATTGCTTCGATTCACGAGCCTCTCACGACTGTCTCTGTGACTCGATCTTTCTCAAGCGTTCTATGAATTATGAAGGGGCTGCTTCTTCGCTAAGTGGTTTTCACGTTCCATTAACTTAACAACGAGGGATCCTGTCGTTTCGTCGGTGGCCGCCGATAAATGTAATTGTCTTTTCGTTGATGCCTTCGTCCATACGACTTCTTTGTTATTCAACGCAGAACTGATGAATTGGAATCGACTGTTGACAGACATTTCCCGTTATAACACGACAACACGGAACGCTCCTATAATTCAGGTATTGTACGGAGCAAAGTTTGTTCGCTGAAAGTTTTAATCGACTAATTGTAAGAAAATCGTAATACTGCTTTCAAGGAAGTAAACAGGATATTTCAATTAAAGAGTAATAGTTTATTGTGCTTTGTAGCGATCGAAGTTACGTTTACACTGCTAAGAACATAATGAGACGACGTTCACCGATTTTGATGAAAAAAGGTGTTCTTTTATCGACCATTATTTGAATTGAAAGAATGAAATGTGTTGTGTGTTTGGCCGAATGTTTTTGAAATTAGTAAAGCTGAACAGAAATTCGAAAATTTGAATGTTTATCATACTCAAATTAATGATTCAATTAAAGGTTTAAGTTCTTAATCTTAATAAATGTAATTAATTTATTGGACGAGTAGTGGTAAAATCACTAATTTTCTTGAAGGAGAACTGAAAGAGAACCTAAAAACTCTTGAAGGAGAAAGTCGCGAGTTTGCTACAAAGCAGACTATGTGCTGTAAAAAATATGAAAAGAGGTCAGCTGTAATGACTGTTTTACTTTTTTACGATATTATACTTATTAGTATAAATTTTTACGTTATGTTCAAAGTATACCTCTCTTATTTTACTAACTTTTTGATTGAATTGCATTATTATTATTATTATTGCACGTTGATATAGCTGAATGCTACCGTATTAGGTAGCGTTATTTATAATATAGAAATGTTTTCAAATAATCATCATATAATTAAGTGGATTATAATAATTTGATTTGGATCATCAGTGACATCCATGGCATTCAACATGTTAAAAATAAATGAGTTGAAAACAAACTTATCGCGTCCTATAACAATTGTCATAAATGGAAAACAAAACAGTAACATTCTTACATTTATCCAAAGTTTTTATAGTTTTATATAATACTACATTAATCATCCAATCTGTATCACATCAAATAGTTTAATTAAACAAATTGAATCAGATAGTTCTATTTGAAGCCTTATAAAACCACCAATAGAATTAACGAATCGTTTTTCAATTGCAGTTTTTCACGATTATCTCATAAAACTGTAAATTTGCATAAAAATCCGCAGTCTGCCGGTGGTTAATCACCATACGTCCTTCGTTTCGCGTGTGACTCGTCGCTAGCGCACGATTTACGCTCATGATGCAGACGCAGAGATCTTGAGGATCTAGCTTAGCTAGATCCTCATGCTCGCCGTGTACAGCTAACTAAACTGTGAATCATTTCGTTGAAAAACATATTTCAGCGACTAGATGGTTGCACAGTTGCGATTAAGAATTTATAGTGAACACGTGCGTCTCGTTGTCTTGCGCAGATAAAATGGCGGAGGATGGTGCAGGAGGATCAGGAAATGGAAGCACGGGGGAAGCGAGCAGGTTACAGCTCCTGCAAGAAATGCGACAGCAGAATTTTGACAGCATTCGATTTGCATCGTATCGAACAGCATGCAAGTTGAGATTCATTCAAAAGAAGGTTCACTGTAAGTATAAGATGATAGACATTGTTCATTCAAGGATAAAAAGTATGTAAATGTTTACATGTGTACTTACACACATTTATAATAATTTTATCGTATTACAATTCGTTCATTTTAACATTTCACCTATCGACTGGCATTTTCTTATTTTTTAAAAATTGATAATTAACAGATTATTTTATATATCCTTTCATAGTTTACTAAATACACTATTAATAATATTTTTTACAAGTATTTTTTAAAGGTAAATTATTAAGTTCCTGTTGAATGCAACGTAATTATTGAGAAACTTATTAAAGAGTCCTTCTATCTAAATTGTTAAAGTATGATGCGATATTCGGATTTTTTGATAACAAAACTAATTACATCGAATTACCTATTTAAAAACTTTCGAAATTGTAACACAATATTTCTGTAGCTGATCCGATTCAGCTTGTTCTTGTTCAGTAATTCTTTTTTGGTTTCGAGTCCCTGCTGACCGATTTTTCAAGCTAACGTCAGCGTCGTAAGACTAGGTATATACAAAGTGCTGGTACGTTTAGTATTAAACGCTCGGTAGTTTCAGTGTTAAGAATTCAATTTACATTTGTTGTATCAGAAATGATCCTCCTCACGTTTCCTTCCTTCTTTGAGAAAGGAAGACTTCAAATTTCTTTCTCATTTCAACTTTTTAATGGTCAAGTATTTTTACTTCTGCATTGTCAAGCAGAAAATGATCCGATTTGCCTCGGTCCACCCTATCGACGGTAGTTCAATATCGTTGAATTTTTTTGATAGAAAAATCACAGCCATCTACCCGGGTACGTAATATAAATTTATTAGCATTTCACTTTCCACCACGAAGAATGTTCCACGCTTTTTTGCGCAGTGCACAACGTCGACATATGGAATGTGATCGAGGCGTTCCGGGAAAATGGTTTGAACACGTTGGAACCGTCGAGCACGTTGGGCGTATCGAGGCTCGAAACTTTATTGTCTTCCTTATTCCATGCCCTTAATAAACGAGTGCCTGTTTCGCAACAAGCCAAAGTCGACGCCACCACAGCCCTGCTGATGAATTGGCTTCTAGCTGCTTACACCACGGGGTACGAACGAAAAACATTGAATCGTAGTTATTATTATTACTAATATATTTTAAGATATAATTAAGTTGTAAAAACAGGCTGAAATGGCCGATAATTCACCGAATAAATAGAGCAGTCTTTATCTTTCCACGACCCTTAGTTCGGGTGTGCTTTTAAGTATTCTCTTCGCAGCGTTGCTCAATAAAGATTTTCATGTCTAGTTTGTTACGTGTCGTTAATTTTTAACCCTTTGCACTCGACAATTATTCCTCTATATATATTCATAATTTTCTAATGAAACGTTGATTAAATTTTTGACTGTATTAACTTCTTGCTCTATGATTCACTTTTCAACTATGATCGATACAACTTGCTTACTTTGCCATTAATATTTTATTGAGGAAAAGAGAAAAATTCTAGGTATAATCTATGCCTGTGTCTGATCTAAAGTATATTTATTGATAACTAAATTATGTTTGTTAAACTTTATTGAAAACCTTCATCGCGAGTCTGACACATTGTTATAAGGCAAGTTACATCTTTGATATAGAATATCAAATTTTATAATTTCTCTATGTCAAACTAAATGGTGAATGAGTCGCCTCTCGAGTACAAAGGGTTATTACTAACAAAATCACTTTCGATAAAGCATTGGCAAACATTCATCACACCTGGGACCCCTTACATAATAAAATAGAAATTCACGATACTAATTTTAATAAATTAATATTAGAAAATTAACTATTATTATAAATTGTATTTTACAGTGTTTCATTTGATATATTTGATTATGCAAGAGGCCATAAATGTAATAAACATTTACGTATGCTTTGTACACTGACTTTATTAATAATTAAGAGAGTTTTGTGTAGAAAAGAAAATTTACAAATATTACGAGTTCATAGTTTGTCACGCCAAGGGCCGTTGACGGTCAGCTAAATTTTCGTGTAAGAATAGGTGTCAACTAATGGAAGAAGGTCAAACATTCTTTCGCGTATAATACTATTTTCCTTGAGGCTTTCGCGAACCGACTTCTTTGCGCTTAATACTGTTTGAGGCTTCCGGGTGCAAGCTGTATCCTTTTAGCACAGATAGCCGACGTTCGCCAGCGTTTCAGTTAGCTTTGTCGAGTGTCAGAGGAAACATCGATGCGGTAATTTCTACGTGTATTTAACACATTGTAAATGCTTGGTTTCGATTCGTTGCCTGAATAAAGTACAGTGGACCCCCGTGCGGTGCAGAAAACGTGTTCCGCGTTACGGGAAACCGGGTTATACGAGTTACACCGTTTATACGAGGTGTGATCAAAAAGTATTTGTTTATTCATCAATTATTTTGTTATCTCCTTCAAAGTAGTCTCCATTAGATACAAGCAGGGATTGAATAGATTCTGAAAATAACGTTTCCAAACTGTTACATGTCGGTTCCGATTAAAACAGTTACAAAGAACCGAGATAAGTCATAACTGTTATTCGGTATATCGGTTTCAGTTCCGGTTTTTCAGAACCGATATTATCCTGTTAATTGTAGAATTTAATTTCAGAAATCTTTGAATCTCGGCTAACAATCAATTACATTTTCATAAAATCGTTTCGGACAATTCATATAATTTTAATTTGTAATTAATAAAACAGTGCTACTCGAGATTTCAAATTAACAATTAAGCAACATATTGATACAAATTTTGGTTTAAATATAGCTGTTTGTTTAAATTAACAGTTAATCAAGATATTGCAAATTTAATTTAAAAAGACGACTACGTTTGCTTTTCTAATCAGCATATAATCAGCATATATCAGAAAACTTCACAGCAGTGTATTCTTGATATAATTATAAACAGAAAGAAATCAATAAGTTTTAAATGCCGAATGATAGAACTAATTTAATACATTAAAATAAAATTGTATAATTGAAAGAACCAATTGATAAAAACGTCAGACTATGAAAGAGCAAATTGGTCTATAAAATTACTATCTGCAAATATTCAATGTTCATTGAACTTCCAAATTGTTCTGAAACTTACTGACTACGATGTATCCGTTGCTTGTTTCTCGAAAAAGTAAATAAAGTAAATACTAATGCTTCGCAGGGAAAACAATAAAATATCCGTGTTCTCAGTGAAAGTTGCCTTAGCTACACTATGCGCTGGGAAACTGATGGATAAGTTCCGATGTAAGTTAACAGTATTCAGGTAATCGGTATTCAGTCATTTTTCCTGTTCTTAAGTTTTGATCATTAATTTAAATAATCTGTCGCGCAGATATATATTCACAAATATCGGACAGTAACGGTCACATGATTCACTGGAGGTTTGCCGAATATTTGAAAGAAGTTTTAGCGCTAACGGCTGCGGTTTATGAGACGCCATCTTTTGGTTATACCGAGGGTCTCGCCAATTCAATATTTCCTCAAGTAAGTTCGATTTAATGATTCATTTTTTATTATATACGTTGGATTTTTGTCAGAATGAATTCAATTGAATCGTCGCTCGCTTTCTTAATTGAAAAGTACACCATTATAAAACAAATATTTTCTGCGCCATCTGGTTTCCCAAATATAGTTTTTTTTTTATTTCAAATTGTACTTCGCAATTTGTCCCCCTGGACATTTAACAAATTTGGATAACACAATTTTTTGTTTCTGAAACGTGTTATAAAAATCGGTGTGTACAAGTGTAGTACGTTCCCTTGTGAATGATTTATAATGTAATATAACGTGTGAATAGCAGATTTCATACATTTATAATATATATGAGTTTCCAAACTTTAATACAGTAAAATGTTTCATTGCTTTATTTTATTCAGAAATTGGTATAGCATGTTTTATGAAGTTATATAAATTTCTCCTTGTTCTCAATTTCTGTAAATTATTAAAAATCGGTATTTACGTAAACATTCATAGTAATGTGATGTATTTTTTATGAAAATGATTAACATTGTTACATTATATTTCAGAACTTAAAAGTAACAGTCAACGATTTTCTGGATACACTCATGTCCGACCCAGGGCCACATTGTTTAATCTGGCTTCCACTGTATCATAGAATGGCTGCTGTTGAAACTGGTGAGTTTGTAGAAGTTTTAATCTTTTTACACGAATATAAGAGAATGTTTACTTCAGAAAATATATCTTAGAAAACAATATTTCTTCTTATAGAATATTTACTTTCGCAATTTTTTATTTATTAATTACCTTTACCATTTTATTTCTCGTTTCTTATTTTTTAGTTTATAAACATACATTCTATATTTATCAAATAAAGAAAGCCATAAATAATAACATTAACTGTCGTTTTTTAGTTCTAACGAAATAAAAGAACAAAGAACGTTATTAGTACTTACTCTAATTACATCACTTGCGATAATATATAATGTGTATAACGGCTAACCAAATTCCTCAAAATATTCATTACCTTCTCTGGGAATTAAATATTCTATGAGTTTTGAAGGTTGTAATCGTATTTTGAGTAAAGATGATCGAAGGCAATACGAACAGTAAAAATTGAAGACCCTTATAGCGGTAATTAGTACTGCGGCATACTTATACCTGCGGTAGCCAATCCAATTGTTAAGGGACCAAGTAATACACCCGTTACTCCATTTTAGCAGAGTATTCTTTCCAAATCGCGTATAAACAATACCGCGTAAATAGTGTTATAATTTATCGCGTAAACAAGAGACTCGACATCAAATTCAAAATTAATTAAAATAGTTAATAAATAGTCCTTTGTGTCCAATGTCACAAATATTTCAATTGATTATTAACTTGTTTCACGTAAATGTCTAATTCAACAATAATTTTAACGTAGTTATTTAATTAGTTCCAACAGTATTTTGTTAATGAATCAACTGATAATAGTAATAATTTCAAAATAAAAGAATAAAATCAAATTTTTTATTTGTAAAATTCTTATATTTTATAGTGGCTCATCCCGTTATGTGCGACGTCTGTCACAAAGAAAACTTTACTGGCTTCCGGTATAGGTGTCAGAAATGCCACTCATATCAGCTTTGCCAAGACTGTTTTTGGCGTGGCAAAGTTTCTGGGACACATAACAACGATCACGAAACAAGGGAGTATAGTAGTTTTGTACGTTCTCAAAAACTACAGTTTTAAACCTTTTCATGAACATTAAATCGTTCACATTGCAATATTCGTTATATCTTTTTACACAGAAATCGCCAAGCAAACAAATTGGACATTCTCTACGAAAAAGCTTTAGATGCGTTCCTGAAAAGGGGAAAAGTAGTTTACCACGATTTCCTGAACAACCTGAGAAAACGTTAGACTTGTCTCATATAGTGTATGTATTAGAACTGTAATAATTAATTATTAACCCATCTTACCTCAGCAATTTAATTTTTCCATTCAAATAAATTTACTATCTTACAGGCCACCATCGCCTCTACCATCTCACAATGGTTTCCCAGACCCAGGCTTCATGGCTCCCTTTGATTCTGGATCAATGGATAGTCGTTCCACATTGAGGAGGTAAACATTAATTATATTACACAAACATATATTAATTTTATTTGCATACTCGTATATTTTGCTAAAAACATATATAAGAAGTCATATTTTATGTTTTCTTTTTTTATTTGGGTATTACACAGTATGGATAGTTCAAGACTGGATGACGAACATAAATTAATAGCACGATACGCACAAAAGTTGGCTCAGGAAGCTAGAACCATGGTAAGATGTCAACTTACCTTTTTCAATATAATATTCTAACTTCTTTTTTTTTCAATTTTGTACGCTTAATAAATATTTATTGTAGAAATATCGTGTTAAACTAAATATTTTTTAATTTCATGGTACTAAAAATTCAAAATACACAGAATTTACATAAAGCCTCTTGATAACACAATCTAACATGTTTTAACTTTTTTATTATATATTTTACATTAGGTGATTTTTGTAATTTTCGTGTGCTAAATGCTAATTTAAAAACTTATTTTCTTCTCTCACTCTCATTTAGTGTATTACAATGAAAAATTTGATTTTAAAAAGGAATCAAATTTTTAATTTTGAACATTGTTTATATTTCACTTAGAGAAACTATGCAAGCATTTATTGTAAAAAATAATTCTATAAAGTATCCTAAATAAAATGATGAACAGAATATTTCATTAAACTTATTAAAAATCAGTATGTAGAAATTTATTAATGGTGTCGTGATGATTTCTTTGTTAAACTTCATTCTATGATGGGACCTTTTATAATATAGACAATAATACTTCAAAAACCGATGAAAGCTAAGATAGACGAACTACAAGAAATGTCCAAATGCAGTGCCCTTTGTTAATGTTATTAACGTCCTAAAAACGAATCCAGAGGAAATTTGAGTCAGAACATTTGAATAGATAAGATATCGCCTTACGCGAACATAATTTTGAATTATATTAATATAGTAAGAAATACATACTAGTGAACAAACATCCACCTTGGTTATTGCATTGAGGTATGTAGTTTTTTATATTTCTGTAGATAGGATAAAGAGAAACGGCTTTCAGATTCGTATTCAGTACATGAAAATGTACAAAAATCACCTTTTGGTTATAGTGACAAGCCATGTGTTGAATAGTGTAATGTATAAAACATGAAGCGAAACTCTACGTGGGTAGTAAGTTAGAACAATAAAATTATACATCCTAATGAATTGAAACGTTATCCTATTAACTTTAATATTATAATTATATTAACAGCCTCGAGCCGCGTCTAGAATGTCACAAGCTGACCAAGCAGTAAGTATACAAAATTTTAAATGAAATACCAGCATTATTTAGACAAATATAATTTGATCCCGAAATTTGTTGTTTCAGGGTAGGGCACCATCTGACGCAAATTTGGTGTCGTTAGATGCCTCGAGAGCACAACGCGAACTTATATCGCAATTAGAAGCAAAGAACAAGGAAATAATGCGCGAGATTGCAAGGTTAAGGTATACCTGTGTCGTTTATTTCCTTTATATCAAGCCTAAACCTCAAGATCATCCTGTCGAACCATCCTAGGATCATGCATGTTATAAACATTCTGTTTCGCTTTATTACCTTGGTTGCATAGTGTGCATATTAGAGCTGAAGACATCACAATAAAACTAACAGATACAACTTCTATCTTCTGAAAGATAACATACATATTACCGAATTTTAACCTATTTATATAAATATTGTGCAAAGTATGTTGAATAGGAGAAAATGTTTTTAGAGGAAGAAATAAATGGAACCATTAAACAATACCTATAATAAAACATATCTTCATAATTATTAAAGTATTAATTGTTAAATTATTTTTAAAACTTAAATTGATTCCCACTAATATATTCATTAGATTCACACACAAACACTACATTTATAATACATTCTCGCTTCAGCTTAAAGTCGATGAAATAGAATATTTGATTCAATGAATATTCTATTTCTTATTTTCAAATAATCTAATGTTTCTCATACGAATATCAAATCCAACTATAGGAGGCAACAAGAAATAGAAGCTGCTGGTTTAGAAAATCCTGCACTAATGTCAGAATTGAGGGCTTTGAGACAAAGGAAAGATGAGTTAGAAACTCATTTAGCCACCTTACAGGATTCTAGAAGACAATTAATGGTACAATTAGAAGGTTTAATGAAAATGTTGAAGGTATTATATACAATATAATTTATAAATTTTCACATGGTACTTCTATTTTGTAATTAAAATACAACACTTAAAGAAATCAATGATTATAGAATCATCAAGCATCTCCAAGATCAACACCAAATAGTTCACCACGCAGTACAAAGTCACCACCTTTACCACCAGGTGCTGTTCCAAGTAGTAGATCAGCACCTCCGACTCCAGGTGGTCCATTGTCTACAACTCCACAACAACAACAGCAACAATCACAAAGTCAACAACAGATGTCTCAAAGTTATCAAAATCCTGTCCCAACGACATCAGTGGCAAACATACCCAGTAACGCTATGCTTGGAACGATACAAAATCCTATTCCAGATAACTTATCATGCGTTGGAGGTGATGTAAGGTAGGCAGGCATGTAGAAAGTCTATGCTACAAATAAATTTTAAAAATGTCCAAAACAGACAAATATAAAACAAATCATATTACAAATGACAATCTTTGTATAAAATATTGTTTTATTGTTGTTAAATGAATTATCTCAGTTATTAAGATGTCATTGAAAATATTTATATATTGATACTTCAGTTTTATAAAAAATTATACTTGCGATTAGAACTCATGTTCTAAAATATATCGATAAGCTTTGAATATATACCAATACACCAATCTTCGATATATATACATACATGGGTATAAATGATTTTATTATATACAAATAATTTGTACAAAGATTTATAATGTATTTAATTGAGTAAGTGATAATGTCGCAAATGTTAACATTATCAGCTTTTACACAATCCAAAATAAAAGATATCTTCCTCTTGTATACTTTACATACACTATGCACTGTATGCCATATTTGCTATAGTCACTATTACTTAATTTTTAAGTAATTTAATCGTCGAATCATTTCAATTGTAAGAAGTTATATTTAAATTTTAAGAAGAAATCAAATACAAAATACAAGCAGTTATCTGACCATATTTATTACATAACAAAACGCACTTACTAATTGCATTTATTTAAAATGCAAAAATATAGAAAAATTGATTTCTTCTATATTCACAGTGCTGGTAATAATGAATCTGTAGCTGCACACTGTTGAAAGATTAGCATAGTAATGATATATTTGATTGTTGCATGCAAATGTTAAAAAGTATGTACTTTTTTTAACTAGTAACAGAAATAATTTTTATATTACGTAAATATAAGACAATTTTCATTTTAAACATTCCTACATTGATGACGCTGTGAATTTTACTTTTAATTTTCGTTACAAAGAGGCACTTTATTTAAACAATGTTGCTTTCTGCTATTTTATGACGCTTTATTATATTTTTATAGTTTTATGTTATTGAGTAAATATTTGCTACAGGCATGTATATTGTATAAAATGAAGCAAATGATATTAATGTACTTTACATAATATGTTAACAAATTTTATTGTACACTTTAGAAATGTTGACTCGTTTCCTTTTACATAAAATTATATAGTTCTTGCACACACGTTCTTTTAGTTTTATTAAATTAAGTTTGTATGTATTAATTATGATCTACTCTTATATAATTTAATGTTTCTATATTTTAAAAACATTTATATAAAAAACTAAAAAAAACTATTGAATTAGCATCATTTGTATATAATACACTGATATAATAAAGACTGCTATTCTCTTGGTAAATATAATTAATAGACGCTATATGCGTATATATATATGTATAATAAATATGTACATTAAATGCAGAAACTCTATCTTTAATCAATGGTAAAAGTCGGTAACCTTTTTAAAAATTTATGTAATACATTTATTACATTTAAAATGCTATAAAATATACTAATATTTAATACCTTTTTAAGTTTATAAAGAATAAATTTTGAGTTTTAGTGATTGTCATAAATATGAGTTTCTGGTACTATTTTCATGAAAAAATATTAAAAATATTGTAGTTATATATAAGTTACTGTAATAAAAAGAGGTATTATATTTTTAATTTCTTATACCAATCTTATGCCATTCTGCATGTGTGTGATAGTATATTGCTAGTTTGAAATTTTTGTTTACATATTTGTTACTTAATTACAATACATATTTATAGGTGAGGCAAATGTTTAATCATAGATGCTTACACAATAAGTGTGGCATGATACACTCCTAATTTATTTTATTTGAAAATGGCTTTGTGCAAAGAAAACAGAGATTTTCGATATCAGGTCTGCGTTCAGGACAAACAGCTTACCAGGAAGTGGTTCCAGCAGTGCGAATAATAGCTTGGGCCGGTCTTTGCGCAATGACTTATTGGTAGCTGCCGACAGTGTTACTAATGCCATGTCAACTCTTGTGAGGGAATTAAATTCAGGTATGTTCAATGATAAATTTTAATATACAATTTGCATCAGAAATGAATGCAAAGTATTTATGTAGTTTAAAACGGCACCAGAATTTGTACTTAGGTATTTTCTTTAATACAGGCCACCAATAATTATATATTCGGATTAGATATAAAAGATTCACATTTTTCTCCTTATAATTAAGACTGTTATAAACAACTTTAAGAGGTAACAATTGACATTTCATAAATTTATATATTTGATAAAATAGACAATATAATATTAATTGCTTAATATAAAAATATTTATAAGTAGTTTAAAACATATTAAAAACTCACTATAAATATCATGTAAATATGTCCATATTTCATATTAATAATATTTTCAATAACTAATTCATCAAAGTAACAGTAAAATCAATGTAACAGTAGTCTGAAATATTTATCTTTTTTATATTTACTGTCTTTAATAATATAGCCATATTAGTGTAAACAGGCATGTTTCAGAGTATTTTTATTCTATCATGTCATTAGATTTTTATGGCATGTAATAATATTAGCATCACCCTTCCTATTCATAATAAAAAAGATCTTATTAGTTTGTTATGGAACTAAGACATTCATACAAGGTAAATTATATACATATTTCTATTTACTCAATAATTTATAAACAAGATTAAAGTTATTTTTTTAACGTAACTTTTCAAAATATTTCTACTTAATCAAGAATCAACTATCATTAAATAGTTGTATATTTGCAAATAATAAAATACTATTCGTATTTGTTTTAACAAATTTACAAAACATAAAACTTAAAATTATAATATTAACACTATTTTTATGTAAATTATAAGATTCTCATAAAAAAGGTAAAAAATAAACTTATAAATTCGTTTAAATGTATCAGTCATCATTCTTGAGAAATTACGCTATTAAACAAAAATACTGTAAAATAATGATATTTTAGGGTATCACTGAACTAATAATGCAACTTCAAATTAAATAATTCTGCATAAAAGAAATGAATCAAGAATATACAGTAAAAGTTGTATCACATTTGCTTTATTTGTAATTAAATTAATATTGCAAATATATCACTATTCACGCGTCTGTCCATTACAGGTTGTTTTCATTCATGTTAATGTTTATAAACATTATCAATAGCATAATAGTATTCCATAACAATTTCGTATAAAGCGATAACTAAAGATACTGAAATCGATAAAACAAGGATTGTCTCATAAATAATGAATAACTAACGGATTCTAGTGCAAGTTGTATACAGACGTATCCGATAAATTTTCCAAATTAATATTTTTTAAACAAAATATAACATTAAAAAATATTTTACATTTTCAACTTATTTTTTCGCACAAAACTTCGACCTTTCATATTGTATTACCCATCAGGTAATATTATATGCTGTAAAGTTGTCACAAGATTAGTGGTACAAACAGATAGGAAATGTTTCTACATGCAATTAGAAATAAAAATTATAGAATATTTTTCGTATGCAACATATAATTAGTTTTAACTATGAAACGATGAAATCAGTTGAAAATATGTAATAACGTATCTCGTCTGTATTCATTGTAAGTTTAAATAAGTAATGGATAGACATATTAATTAAGCATATTTGAAAGCACGTGTGTGCAATGAATTTTCATGTTTAATTTTTTCAACAACAATGTTTTATACGAAAAAATTTTATTCTACATTTTCAATTCATTTTTGCATGTAGAATCATTTCCTGTTCCACTATAATAGGCATCTCGTCACAATTTAAATTAATTTTTTAATTCTATTTATGATTTGTGTGCTATTAAAAAGAAACTTACGCAGATGTAAATACTTAGTTTACACCCTCATTTACACATTTGCCTGTTGTAATTATTTTCTTTCATTTAGAATAGAGTTAGCGAAGTTTAGTCTAGCAATAGCACAGACTACACTACACGCAAAACAAGTTCTCTTTTTAGGATATTGTATTGCTAAATTGGTAATTATTAGCTAATTTCTGATTTACATAAAATGAATTTCAAAACAAATATAAGAAGATTTATTTAAAATTTCTCATGCAATGATAGTAATTTTATATTTTTGGTAATTACCACGTAATACTCGTTAAATTCAAAATACTCGTTAAACACGTTATTAAACATTAATATTAATAATAAAAAGTATATTACTAAACATATCATTTATCAAGAATCAGGAATGTTATCCGAAGTTCTTGTGAATTTGTTCTGTATTGAAATTCGGATAACAAATAGGTGTTCTTATACAAATAACACTTTAGACGTGTTGTGGAATGTGTGTGATATGCACCCCCTGTGAATGTGTCCTGGTGGCTTGCAGACTCAGACCAGGAGGATCATTCTCACAACTCTGGCCGTCTTAACATCAGAAAGCCATTAGGTAAGAGTTTGTTAAAATTCTGAACATTACTGTACTTTTCATATTTTCACGAGCATTTGCAAAATATGACATCACTTGCTTTTTTTGCATTAGTATAATTATTACAATGAATGAGCATTAAGTGGTCTGTTATTTCAAAATGTAGAAAATTAATATTGAATCTTTAATGTTACTGTTGGATATATCCCCATAATAATTTAAATCATATAGTAAGATTTTTTATGGTTTCTCTCTAAACTAGTTACTTATCTAGTTAATTATCAATTTTTAGACACATTTATGTTGACCTAAAGTGTAAATAAGTTGTGTGAAAATTTCATAAAATTAGAATATCTTTATGCAGAAAAGCACAGAAGATAAGATATTAAAATAAAACAAACTAATATATAATGAACACATTTGTATTTTAAAAGATATAATTTGTACATTATGTTCATCTGTTAGACTTTGAGGCTGGTGAAGATGGAGATGATAGTAGTGGTGGTGGAAATTCTTGGAGAGAAGAACTTCAACGTCGCTATCAGCAAGAAAATGATTTCTTGGCTGAATTGCGTGCACGTAACGTTAATACTACACAAACACCATCGGCTACTCCATCCAGTGAACAAGAGCAAGAAAGAGGAGAAAGAGAAGAAGCAGATGGAGAAAAAGAAGAGGATAATGAATCTAACTGGACAGAACCAGTGAAGAGATGGGTCAATCGATAAGTTTATTAAAAAGCATTTATACATAATTTACAATGGCTTAGAAACTGCTATCAATTGAAACGCAAATAAATTACTGTAGTACCATGAGTTATTTACAATGGGCATATATCTGGGTGTTAGCGTGAAATGTAATCAACATCATATTAGACTTTGGACAGTATTTAAAACTTGCATTTTCAAAGCAGTACTTTTAATCAAAAGAATTGTCAGTTCAGCAATTGAAATTCTTATATAGTATCATCATATAAATTTTATCAAAAACACGAAATTAATAACATTATTTGTATATGAACAAGCCTTTCATCTAATATTTGCAATATTTATGAAATGCAGAAATTGATTTGGCTTCTAAAATTATTGCAATATTGTTAAGCACCTACACAGTTTAAGTATCATTATATAAGTTAGACTTTTGTTTATAAAACTTTTTAATTATTTCCAAAACCATATTTAAACATATTTAGCATAATGATAAAAATGATTAGATTGAATTGATGAAACATTGAATAGATCACCTATGGGCCTAAAGATATGAAAACTGACTTCTTAATTACATTAGACTTAAAAAAAAAAGTTTTCTTTGCTTATATATTCATTAATGATTTGTGTAATTTTTACACACAAATATGGAGAGACATTAACTTAAACCTAGGTGCTCAGTAATGAATTTTTAGTCTACGTGTAGGTAATAATATAGAAAAAATTTTGCACAAGTCAAACGTTTGACCAAACTTTGTATAAGGAGGTAAGTAAATGTAATTAATGGACTTTTTTAAATACTTAATAAAAGGACTATTAATGGAGGCTTAGTTACAGAAGCTCACGTTCTTTTATACATTCATACTGCTTAGATACAACATTCAATAATATGAGATATATAAATATATTATAGGAACTTTTGTTCAATAAATGCTTTTCTTTTTAAGAATGAAGACCTCAGAACTATTGATTCATACAATAACTTTCCATTTTGTTTTTGTCCTGTATTACCTATATCTATTACAAATATAACATTTACTTTGTAATAATTTCAGAGTTTAAGAAATTCATAATATAGTACAAATTTATTTTAATTATAAATTCGTATCATCAATTATCATTATTCTACATATATTAAGGAAAACATTGTTTATGACTCAATAGCTTTCAGGGGTTATGTTATAGTACTACAAGAATAATGTACATAAGTACTATTGTTGATTATTTATCAAACATAAGATACTCATATATGTATGAGAATTGTAATTCTTAGGCATTTCGACTGCATTATTTATTCCTTCCCTTTAATTTTGATATTTTTAAAACTTGTTACATTCGAATGCCCAAGTTTTACACCATAATCACAATTCCATTGCATTTACAACTGTACGTTGCATAATAATAGGAGGACTGGCATTGTTTTTTGTATTATATTTAAATTTTAGTTCCTACATTATGTAATTGAATATTATTCAATAAATGATCGTTGAATTGTAATTAATAGAGAATAACCCATTTTGTAATATTTACGTAGCGCATAACATTCGGAAATATTCTGTGTAAATATTCATATGATCATTTTTGTCTATATTAACATTTACAAAAATTGTGTAATAACTATATTATATGACTATTGAATAAAAAATGAAATGAGAACTTACAATACTTAGAAAATTGAACTTGACATACCAATCCTAGTTGGATATTTTTCTTTACAATTTCATATGCAATTTGTCAGTAGATGAAAATAAAAAACAACTGAAAAGGAAATTTCACACAATTGCCATTAAGAAAGTTAACCATAAATTTGATAATGGATATTTTCTTAGATAATAGAGGTAACAAGAAGAATATAATAAAAAAGATTGAACTATTTTCACTAAATAATTTTCTTTGCAGGGGTGAAAAATAATAGAAAGCGTGAATTGTATTTGTTTAATTCTTCAATTACTTCCTTTGAAAATATCATTTTTACAAAACGAAATATTCAAACATTAGTCATAATTTGTCAACGCAATATTAGCTCATTTTATGCTATTTCAGAATTGACTCAAATACAGGAACTATGGATTGTCGACTGTGGACTCAAAGTAATACAGTTGTTCTTATTTAGTCTGTAAGTTCTTTAGTGTATTATTTAATTTTATTTAGAATATACCACCCTTCAAAAAAAATTGTCCATTGAGAAAGCTCTATTTATATTCCAATCAAATATCTTGTATATCAAATTTGGATTTCTGCACATGTTTAGCAATTTTATATTTGTCAGGAAACAATATAGACAATCTCCAGGTATATATGGTTTTATTATATAATTTCATTTCAAAAAAGATTTGAAAAATTCTAATGCACCTCCTCATAATATTGTTACATTTTACTTATATAGCCTCTAACTAAATTACCACGGTTAGAAGACCTCAACTTAGCTAATAATAAATTAAAAAAAATTGATAAATATTTTATAAATAAATCAGAGTTATGTTACTTAAACTTGGCAGGAAATCCATTGTGTTTTATACAGGTATAGAATAATATAATTAAACTACACTTCTACTCTAATTATAAAATAATAATATCCTCCCCTTTAATTACAAGGATATAAGAAATTTATCACATCTACAAAAATTAAGAACCTTAATATTTGCTGATCCATTATATGGAAACTGCCCAATAGTAGCTCTTTGCAATTATCGTGCATATGTTATAAATTACCTTCCAAACATTAAGAAATTAGATCATTATACTATATATGAAAAAGAAAGACATTGGATTAATCAATTTTTCAGGTCATTATATTATTATTTATTAATATACTAATATATACTATATATTGATTATTTTCCTTGTATTCTTATTAAAGAATATTTTGCTTTTAGAAAACAAATACTTCAGCATAATGTATTGTTTCATAAACAATTAAGTGAATACCTGAAGTCTGTGAAAGACAATTATAAAGAATACAAGAACATAATGCTTTATTTTAAAAATAAGCTTTATGTAACTAAGGTAATAAAAGTATACTATTTAAATAATATGCAAAACGATTTTTTAAATGTACTTTTTACATAGCATAAACAAACCTATCTGAAAGAAAAAACACATGATGAATCACTAAATATATCACTGAAAATGGAATTAAATAAACAACAGTTTATGGAAAAGAAAAAAATGGCAATGATACAATCTAAAGTAAAACAACAGCATAATCATTTTTACACACAGAAACTATTAATATGATATTTCATGTTGTACATTGCAGTCTATTATTAATTGAATATTAAAAATTATTATTTTCTTGCTAGATTTTACAACAGCAGTTAATATATAATATAAACTATTGGGGAAATATAAATTTTGTTGAATATAATACTAATCCTAAAAATGCAGTTACACAACTGTGTAAACAATTTTTAGAGGAATCGTTGTGTTCAATTATAAAAAAGTAGGCAAACATTGTTATGTTATAGAAAATACATTCAAATAATGGAAAATTGATAATTACTTTTGATTGACAGTGATATAGGCATCACAGGTTTGACATTATATAAAGTAACAGAAGTGAACAATAAAGAAATGGATCAATTAAATCTCTGGAATGATACCATAAAATTAAATGAATACAACATGATATTAAAAATTGTAACGTCTCCTGGAGTAACAGATATTCAAGCATGGCCTTTTGATTTCTTTAAAACTGGTTTATTTTCTAATGTACCAATATGCCTTTCTGAAAAATATATTAGTATATTTAATATTTATTTAGGAATTTCTTTTAATTTATAGAAAGAGTTAATAGTTACAAACTGTTTGGCAGTAGCAGACTCTGAATGGTTAAATAAAATGTTATTAATCAAGAAAAATGGTGATATGTTGAATCTGCTTAATAATTTTGAAAAACGACGTATTTGTATACTTACACAGACACCTGTCTTCAGCTACATTGAAAAGTAATAGTAATAATTTTTATCAGTTTCAATAGTTTCCATCTAAAAACTTGTTTTTACTCAGGACATATAATGCTAATGATTACTTACACGTACAACATGGAAGTTATGTGAATAATATGAACAAAATTTGCCAAAAATTTGTGCTGAGAAATACAAATATTAGAAATCCCATGTTTGTAATTGAGTACGAGTATAAATTACACGAATTAAAAAATGTAATAATTTTTTATTATATAATAAAACTGTTTTTTGTTATTGAAAGAATTACTTATAACAAAAGTTTCTTAAATCTGTTTGTAGGAAAACAAATCTAAAAAATATGTTGTTCCATGTACATTAAACAACACTATGTGGGTTTATTTATCAAATTTAAATATAACAAGATATATTGACATTAATGAAAATTTAAGAGTACATGATCTTGTAAAAATATGTCTCTCAGGACAACATATAAATTCAATAAGTACAGATTTGGATTTACCCAACTTAAAAGAATGTGACATTTCATTCAATTGTCTTGAAAAATTTCCAAATTCAAAGTTCATGAAAAATATAAAAATATTAAATATTAGTTCTAATAATATACAATTGATACATATTCAAGAAACTTTATCTAAATTGGAAGAATTGGACATATCATGGAATTGCATATCAAGTTGCCTTACAAATATTAAAATTCTTAAAACTTATGTACCCAATCTGCTTAAATTAAAAATATGTAACAATCCCTTTGAAGATATTGATCCAGAACTTACAGAATATATTTTACACATGAACATACTGAGCCTGCAATTTATTAATGATAACCTATGTACAAATCTTCATTTACCTGAAAATTATTTTCCATGTTCATTTAATATGTATAATTTGAGACAACATAATAATTCAATTTATTTGGAAGAAAATATAATAAAAAGTGAAGAAGAAGCAGATTTATTACTGACAGAAAAGAATATAAAATGTGCAAAATCTATTCACATATCGCAAGAATCATTTGTACTAATGCATATTTTAAAGAAGGCTTTGAAAATTCAGGAATTATGTGTTACTTGTTGTTTATTGACTACATTATGTATCAAAATGCCTTTAAAACATCTAATTAAATTAAATCTCGGAAATAATCTCATTTCAACTTTGAATGAACTTACGCAAACAAATTTTCCATTGTTAAAGTATTTAGATTTAACAAATAATTTAATAACAACTTTAGAACCAATGGGTTCGTTTTGTACTTTACAAGAATTTTATTGTAGCAATAACAAGATAGGAGATCTACTACAAATAGATAATATTAAAACATGGCAAATGTTGCATGTTATAGATCTTTCCAATAATCCAATACACAAAAGAGCATTATATAAAAAATTTATTATATGTCATTTAAACAACATTAAAGTAAGTAAAATCATGTATCGCATATTCAATGTCTTTCTTTTTGATTTATTATTTATATATTTTATAAAAATAATTTCTTGGCAGTATATTTCTGGAGAACGCATCCAATATTCTGATGTAGCTGAAGCAAGATACATTTTCGACAATAGATTAGATAAATATATCTTAAATACAATTTATAAAACAGATCAATTAACAACTATTATACAGTTGAGTATAACTAATTGCTCTTTATCAAAGGTATGCCATTTTCTATTTTCTAATATTAACTTCAATCATATTAACTATCAAATAATTTCAGATTAATTTATCTGGCAATTTATTACCACAATTAGAAAGTTTGGATTTGAGTAACAATCAAATAACTTATTTATGGGGTCTTCATTCCTTTCAATATTTACATACATTATGCTTAAGTTATAATTGTCTTGATACATTTGACAGTAATGGCTATGAAAAGAAACAATGCATATTTCCAAAATTGTGTACATTGTTGTTGGATCACAATTGTATCAAATCATTAATGAATATTAATGAAAAATTACCAGTAATTAAACACTTATTTCTAAATAATAATCACCTTCAAAGCATTAATGGTAATATTTTACATACTGAGATAATATTGAAATTTTTGCATATTATTTACTGTTATTATAAATATATATATATACACTTTATAGGTGTAAGTCATTGCTCAAGTTTAGAATCTTTAATTTTGGACTATAATGATATTAATACAGT